GAAGAAGAAGAAGAAGAAGAAGAAGAAGAAGAAGAAGAAGAAGAAGAAGAAGATTATAGTAACCAGCCTACCTGAATGCCAGCATGACCGAGTCGTCCTGGCGACGGGTGAGGATCTCCGAGCTGTTCTCCACCTCCTTCCCGTTGAGGATCCAGGTGACCACGGGGTCAGGGTTACCGTCCACTACGCAAACAAACTCCACGGGCACGCCCTCCACGGCCTCCATGTCGTAGAACTTGGTGAGAAAAGTCGGAGCTACGTGGGCGTCTTTGATCTTCTCTTTGAGACCTGCAGTATGACAGAGTGTTTTAAAAAAATCTTCTACTTGGTTTTTTTTTCCGTTAAAGTTTGAACATTTGGTTACTGTTGGAGTCATTTTTTTTATTTCCTCCCTGTTTTCCAGTTAAAATTAATTCTTAAAAAAAAATGTTTTGCTTGTTTCTCCGTTTGAATCTCAATATTTGGTTCCTGATGGAGGAACCTTTTAATTTCCTATTTGTTTTTCGTTCGAATCTGAATACTTATTATCCTATTGCAAACAACACCCTTTTTATGCAGGTATGTTATTTAGAGTCATAGTACTTGATTTGAGGCTAAAATTTAATGTCCTTCATGGCATAAGGTTGGTCATTTATTGAACAGAATAGGAATGCCTTTAAGTTCAGAATAAAGAAGGGGAGAAACCCAAGGAAATCAGGCCCTCGCAGGTAAGTTCTAAGAAGCCCCCACTTTAAGGATAGTTTTTTTTTATAAAGACCCGTACATCGTGTGAATGAGGGTGTGAATTATTTACAAAAATGTTCATCAATAGTAGATAAAGCATGAAAAGACCCACTTACCAACCACGTTGAGAAGGGCCTCTGATTTCGCCTCTCCGTACTCATTCTTGGCCAGGCACGTGTAGCGTCCGCCGTCGTCCATGTCCACCTTCTTGATGAGCAGGGAGAAGATATCATCGTGGAAGTTCACCAGCTCATGCTTGTCACTAGCGGTCACCTTGTGACCGTCCTTGAACCTGACAGTGTCAAGTGGAAAAAAGATGCAGGGTCGTAATGTAGTTTTTATACATATTAATACATTGTATATCATGTAATTAAACACAATGTCAGATAAAAACTCGCAAGTGCACGAACACAGATATTTTTGAAAAGCAAAAGTAGATCTAGCACTTAAGTCTTATTTATTTTAATGTTTTACTTGTTCTCATTGTTTGAATTGTTAGGGATAATTAAAGCAAAACTCAAAATAAAACACAATAAAAAGACATAAAAGAAAAACAATAGTTATTAGTAAAAGAACAACACCATAAAGTACCATCAAAACAAAACCAAGAAAATATAATATTATATCCTAAAATATTGGAACATAATAGCAATTATGCTAAGAGTGCTTGAATAGTAAAAAATATTCCAAATTAAATGAAATACGTTCAGAAGAGTCATCAAATCACACTTATTGCTCACCAAGTGATATTAGGGTCTGGGTAGGCAGACACGCGGCAGTCGAAGCGAGCCATGTCGCCCAGCTCTGTCACACAGTTGTCCATGCTTCCTTTGAATTGAGGTGCTGCTGGTTTTCGAGATTCTTTCTTCGCTTCTACTTTCTCCTCTTCTTTAACCTCCTCGGCTTTCTTTACCTCTTTCTTTTCTTCTTTGACTTCTTCGAACTTCTTAAGTTTGATTTCTCTTTCCTCTAAGACGTCTTCCTCAAATCGCCTTGGTTTGCGCACTTCCTCTTTTTCTTCCTTGACTTCTTCCTTGACTTCCTCTTTCTGTTTGGCTACCTCTTTCTTTTCTTCTTTTACTTCTTCCTTCTCCTTTACTGGTTCTTCTTTCTTTTCCTTTGGTTCTTCTTCAAACCTCTTTAACTTGATCTCTCGTTCCTCTAAAACGTCTTCTTCAAATCTCCTCGGCTTTCGTACTTCTTCCTTTTCTTCTTTCAACTCCTTGTCTTCCTTCTCGTCCTTTTTCTCTTCCTTGACAGCTTCTTCTTTTACCTCCTTGGGTTCCTCTTTCTTCTCGTCCTCGTCAAACCGCTTGAGTTTGATCTCTCTCTCCTCTAAGACGTCTTCTTCGAATTTCTTTGGTTTGCGTACCTCTTGTTTCTCTTCTACTGTCTCTTTTGTCTCTTCTTCTTTGACTGGTTTGGTTTCCTCTGCCTGTCTTGTTTCCTTGTCTTCCTTTTCTTCTACTTTTTCTTCTTTCTTTGCCTCTTCGTCAAAACGCTTCAATTTGATTTCTCTTTCCTCTAATACGTCTTCCTCAAACTTTTTAGGTTTACGAACTTCTTCTTTTTCTTCCTCTTGCTCCTTCTTTTCTTCTTTCTCTTCCTTCAATTCCTCTTTCTTTTTTGGTTCGTCGTCAAATCTCTTTAGTTTGATTTCCCTCTCTTCTAGGACGTCTTCTTCAAATCTCTTAGGTTTACGAACTTCCTCTTCTTCTTTTACTTCTTCTTTCTCTTCTTTTACTTCTTCCTTCTTTTTCGGCTCGTCGTCAAATCTCTTTAGCTTGATTTCCCGTTCTTCTAATACGTCTTCTTCAAACTTCCTTGGCTTTCGAACTTCTTCCTCTACTGTGACTTCTTCTTTCTCTTCCTTTACTTCTTCCTTCTTTTTTGGTTCGTCGTCAAATCTCTTTAACTTAATTTCCCTCTCTTCTAATACGTCTTCCTCAAAACGTTTAGGCTTACGAACCTCCTCTTCTTTCTTTACTTCTTCTTTCTCTTCTGTAGCTTCTTCCTTCTGTTTTGGTTCGTCGTCAAATCTCTTTAGTTTGATTTCCCTCTCTTCTAGGACGTCTTCTTCAAATCTCTTAGGTTTACGAACTTCCTCTTCTTCTTTTACTTCGTCTTTCTCTTCTTTTACTTCTTCCTTCTTTTTCGGCTCGTCGTCAAATCTCTTTAGCTTGATTTCCCGTTCTTCTAATACGTCTTCTTCAAACCTCCTAGGCTTCGGAACAACTTCTTCCTCTTCTTTTTTGACTTTTTCTTTCTCTTCTTCCTTCTTCTTTGGCTCGTCGTCAAATCTTTTTAGTTTGATCTCCCTCTCTTCTAAAACGTCTTCTTCAAATCTCCTGGGTTTGCGTATCTCCTTCTCTTCTTCCTTTACCTCTTCCTCAGCAGGTTTGCTCTTCTCTTCAACCCCGACCTCCGCTTTTTTCTGTTCTTGAACGGCTTCAACGATTGCCTCTTCGACAGCTTCTGGAACCTTCTCTTCTTTGGCTTCAGACTTGGGTTCTTCGCGGATTTCAGCAACTTCTTCCTTCGACTGAGTCTCAGAAACTTTAACACCTTCCTGCTGGTCTTCGGTCTTTACTTCAACTGTACCCGACGGAGTCTCTTTTTCTTTCTCAACACTGGCTTCAACTGCAACCTCTTCGGTCTCTACTTTACTCTCTGTGTTTTTGAGAGAAACCTCTGTCTCTAGATCTTGAGTTGACTGGATGTCTACAGCAGCAACTTCAGTCTTGCCTACACCTTCCTCAGGAGAGACCTGGACTTCTTCTTTTTCTTTCGCTAGAACTTTACTTTCCTCAACGCTCTCTTCCTCTACTGCCTCAGTGACTGCCTTCTCTGTGGTAGCTGTATCTTCGGTTTTTCCACGATCCTCTTGTGGCTGTTCCTTCTCCTCTTCCTTGATAATTTCTACCTCGATAAGAGTATCTTCAACCTCAGCCTCGTCGTCGTCGTCTTTGACCTTTTTGTCGCTAGAAATTTCTTCTTCCCTCTTTTCTCCTACTGTTTCATTAAGTTCGTCTAAGGCGGCGTCTATCAGGTCTCTATCGTCTGCCCCGTTGAGCCAGGACGAGTCTATGTCCTCGGCAGCTGTCTCCGAACCTGTTTCCGACTCTGTTACGTCTGTCCAGCAGAAAGAAAACATCTTATTATTAAACAGATCTACCAGTAACTGTATTTTGTAGCATAACAATAACAGATAGAAACATACACAAGAGTACAATCAGAAAAACTTAAAGGCTCATTTATTATTAACTTTGCACTACAAACATGTCTCTTTCCATGCTCTCTTTGTACCCCCCC